CCCACTTTTTTGTAGGTTCCTATTATGAACCCTAATATGGATTTATAGGGACCCTACAAAAAGGTCGGTTCTGGTGGGTTAAGGTAGGTCTCTAAGTTCAGACGTAAGAGGAGTACCCCCGAACCCTGAACCCTAAACCCCTGAACCCGAAACCCTAAACCCCTAAACCCCTAAGCCCTAAACCCTGAAGCCTAACCCTGACTGCTTGCATCAACCCCTAAACCCCTAAATCCAAAAACCCTAAACCCCTAAACCCTAAACCTTAAGTTGAGAGTTAAGAAGAGTGGGTCGTGCTTCGAAGCATAGCCACGACTGTTGGCCCCGCTGAAATCGAAAGCCCTTTGTTCAGCAGCTCATCTTTCGACAGCGAGCCATACTGCCCTCATACTCGTGGCCGTACATCCCCGAAGCTCTTTTCAAACCCAATACCCTAAACCCTAAACCCTAAACCCTAAACCCTAAACTCTTTCTGGCATGATATTCCCGGCAAAAGATAAACCCTCATCAGAATCCGCAAGACAAGACTAGGAGCTCCTAAGCTCTGAGAGCCTTTGAGATGGTAATCTTTAAACTTCGGGGGGGTTACAAGAATCCCTATATCACCTTAAAGGTTAGCTTAGTCCTTAAGGACAAGTAATATCTTAGGGAGTCCTAAACGAGGGGTAAGGGGGAGTCCTGCCCCATACCCCCCTCCCACCCTAAAACCTAAACCCTAAACACTAGATAATAAGGCCTCATGGACTTCCTGTGTTGATTCGGAGTGATGAGGTGATGTCGGTGATCGGCGAGTTCATGTCGATTGCTGCGCCTTGACATCCCAAGCGGTTTAGGGTTTGGGGTTTAGGGGCTTAGGGTTTAGGCTTTAGTGTGGGACGAAAAGGACAAATAGAGGTGCGAGACCCGAATCAAGTGTGTTTATAAAGGTTGTAGAAGGGTTTAGGCTCAGGGGTTTAAATGCTCCACCCAGAAAAGCACTGGAGAATTCGCCTTAGGCCCCACTGCGACAAGAAACGAGACATCCCAGCATTGAGGTGCCCGCACGGGCATGGTAATCTGACATTGAACCCCACAAAAGTTGAAGACAAGCAACGTTGGAGCATTGGTGCTGCGGTTCCTTTTATTCTGGCTTAACGGCATGGGGATAAGGATATTCCAACTGTCTGGTTTCCACTTCTAGTGGGGAGCCATGTGGGTAGTTCTCTAAATTAGGAGGTCCCCAAAATAGCACGGCACGCTTATAAAAGGACCCAAAAAAGGGACGCTAGTTTACAGAACGACCCATGTATGGCTTGAGGATCGGGGGTAATGGGCCTCTGGTGTCGACAACATGACTGTTGATTACCGTAATTTAGTAGACGTCGAGGTTCAAACGTAGTGGATTCAGGGTCTTGGGGCCCTACATCTAGGACATTTTCAGGTGGGTAGCTACCGTTATAGGAGCCTTATAGAAGGTCTAGATGCCTTAAACTCCCGACCTGTCGTTTCCTTTAACTAAACCCTAACCCCGAGTTTCGAGCCCCAAATCCAGGTGATCTACGTCGGCACCGTCGTCTTTTTCGCCTGGATCTTCGTGACCATCTTCGACGATATCGAGGGCTACATCCACGGAATGCCCGTGAACAAAGGCCTCGACGCCTTCAGCACGCGACCTGGCTGCCAGCGCAGGGCCCGTTCTACGCCGCGGGGTTGAGGGATTTTGCATGGGCGAGGCTTAGTAGCCCAACAATCGGTAAACTTTAAACTCTTTTGGTATATTGAACTCCTACTGAAAGAAAAGTTTAAGTTTTTTGTGCCAGGGTACTGGGAAGCTAAGTACGGTTTAGTTCCAAAGGAGTGAGGGTCTATGCCGCTTTCATTTTCGGGCACTGAGGGCGTCCTACTGAGGTGAATTAAGGTCCCAGCCAAAGAGGAAGCTTTACCGAGGGCCGAGTGAAAGCATTGTTTCAAGCAGGTATGCAGTGCTGAGAGGGAATCTTCAGCTGTAACAATCGCGAACTTCCGCGCCGTGATCCGTCACTATGAGCATCATGCAGGAACAACTGTGTGCCCATAAAATCCGTAGATGCGCACATGTGCAGTCTTGCGTTTCTTGTACACCTTCGTACATGGAATGCTGACATGATTTTGACATGCCGCGGTGCTTCTGTGCACGTGCCTCAGAGGCTGAGAGTATGGATGCGTGCATCCAAGGTTCTAAACCTGCCCTGATGCCAAAGGACCTGAACCCCAAGGCACTAAACCCCGACCGCATGATGGAGTTTCTGGCAGGTCCCTGAACACGATGTTCATTGCCGGCTCGACGGACGACTTCGTGGACTGCTTGCTGCCTTCGTACTCAACGACCCCTGGCACGGTGAGGTTTTGTTGGGTTTAAGGCTTTCGGGCTTTAAGGGCGGTTTAGGGTTTAGGGTTTAGGTCGGGATAATGTAACCTGATATGGACCCCAAATTCCCATTCTGACTACTGAGGCCCCTATTTTTGGGCTTTAAGGTTCAGGGTTTCGGTGGAAGAGATACCTGAGAAAAGGGGTTTAGGGTTAAGGGTCTAGGGTTCAAGGGTTTAGGGTTTAGAGGTTTGGGGTTAAGGGGTTTAGGGTTTTGCTTTGCGTTTTAGCGGCTTAGGGTTTAGGCAACCCGTCGTTCGAACAAAAAGAGTCAGCAGGCTGCTGAGTTCGGGATGCCGAATGAGGGTCTACGGTCTAGGGTACACGCTAAGGACATCCACCCAAAGCTTCGCTAATCTCTAGACCCCAAACCCTCAAGCCTAAACTTCGAATCCAGGCAATAAAGCTGAAGTGCCAAGACAACCCTAAACCCTAAAACCCTA